GACCGTTACAACTGAAACTCTGATTCACCCTTCGGAAGGCCGACTACACGGCACTTTCGTTGAATTCGTCTCAACAAACGCTATAAAAAAAGTTACTTGACATTGATATCTCTCCCACTACTACACCTACAGAAAAATTATTTAGACCACCTAATGCCCCCCTATAACTTTATAGAACACTTTTTTCATAACTTCAATCCCTCGTGAAATATTCCACCGTTTCCAGTTAAACGGAACACCCTGTACATAGCAACTCCGAAAGCAGTAGTACATTATTGCTATTACTAATATCTTTGTGCGATTCACAACGTGTTTAGTCTCTTCAATAAACCTTTCGTTAAGGTTTTAAAAGTATTCTACACAATTCTACCACCTGGAATCGAACACGTGCACACGTTAGTTTGTCGAACCCATCGAGTAATTACGCTCGTTTGTTTATGCTTCTTTATGTACAACTAGATGTATTACTGAAACATGCGAGAAATGAAAAGAGGAGAAAAACTTCGCTCATTTGCACCGGGTTTAAACTATTGAAACGTCATCAGTAGCCTTGTGATTTTAAGATTACACATGTATGTACAGCTAATCGCAAAATTGAGTGTACACGCATATTAGAAGTATGTTTATTTAGAGAATAGAGCAATAACATAACTTTTTGTCATATAATTTTTTTATTTATGCAATATATTCCTTTAAATCAAAAAATATTGAACAAAATTTTTTAAATATATAATACTACGTATATACTTAAATACGTAAATACTGAAATATGTAATACACGGCGAATTGTACCCTTTGACACAGATTTATCAAGTCTTGAGGAAACATCTACTGTTAATTTTGGTACACTGGTATTAGGTTTAATTTTAATTTGTCGCACAATACATATGTATATCGTTCGTCATATTCGGAAAGAATTTTCTTTCTCCCTCGACTGCTTCTATTTTGTAGTGTACCTTCGTATCTAAATTTATTAATTATTTTATGTACAGTAGAATGAGTTCTACCAATTATACTGCCGATTTCCCGAAGAGACTTCCCTTTGGAATATAAATTAACAATAATTTGACGAACAGAAACGTCTGTTTCCTTTCTTTCCGGAGCCATTGTTGTAACTGACGCAAAATAACAAACGAAGATTAAAACAATGGACGTAATGTATTTTGCGATGTTGCATAGTAGTCTTTCTACAATAAAATTGGAAAACAAATGCATAACAATATTCATTTTTAGGGGATTCCTATTCTGTACGCTCAATTGAAGATTAAAATAATGGACGTAATGTGTTCTGCGATGTTGCGTAGTAGTTTTTCTATAATAAAATTGAAAAACAAATGCATAACAACATTCATTTTTAGGGGATTCCCATTCTAAAATCGTTGCATGTTTGGAAACAATAAGGAAAATAAAACTAGTTTACTTTTTTAAAAAAATTTATTTAGCAGTCGAATTTAAACAGTGGTACAATAAAGGTAAATATTTAAATTTACTAATTATTGCAATTTTCTTTGCTATATGTTAAGAAATATAGATTCAATGCGAGTGTACGCTCAATTCTGCGACCAGCTGTATATTGAGATTCATTCGTTCTTCTGAACCAAAATCATTATTAACAGTGGAAATATATTACGCTCTTTCTTAACACATATCCACCCGGCATTTGTTGCATCGCCATCGCCCAAAGGCCGGCATTTTTTACACAATTTGTGGATTCGCTATGCTTTATGTTGAAACAACATAACTTTTAAATCATATTTTAGTGAAATTTGGGGAAATGAAATGAAATGAATTTATATTTATTTCTGTATTTTATATTTTTTTTTAATTTTTTCGTTGCAATTGGGGAAACAAGTTCCAATATAAAGGGGAGTGTTACAAAAGTCACATACGTAGCTAGTTCTACTTTTTTTGTTGTTTAAAAAGAAACGAGTCATTTTTTTACTGCAAAACGCAAATCACGAATTTTCGTTGGTGATTGGCTGTGAAATAAAGAATTTTCGTCATCCAGTCGGATATCACTTCTTGGGTAAAAATTGGATATTTCAAGGAAAAATTGCCATACTGTTTGAGGTCATCAAGATTTCAACCTAGTTTTGTACCCTTTTTACATTTGAAAAATTTCTATAAGATAGAATGCGTTGCATCAAAACAAATAGAATCTGGGCTACGTGCTGAACTAGGATTCTTCACGTCAAATAAGAAAATATTTTTTGCGCGCAGGAGAATTATATCCATGGATATAAGTATTACGGTGGTGTTGATACTAATTAAAATACTGACAATGTAATAATAAAAAATGACACTTCTGTGTTTCTGACACTAGCTAATAACGAGCGAATCAATTTTTGCACTGATTTAATCTGCGATACAATTCTTTTTTCTGTAGAATTAATGTAATTTATTCTAACGACATACAAATTATGAGTTGAATCGATGATCCAAATATCATAGTCTTCCTTCATAACATAAATCATATAAAGAGATAAGACATTGTTTAACGGTTGATATCACTTTATTGTGCTCTATCCTGAAAGGAGGAAAGTTTTGATTATACGATAATAACCAAATTAACCGAAAATAAACCATTGTAAGTGAATTTCACTTTAGGTGAACAACAGTATGTTACACATAAAAGGAAAATATTTGATACATAGCAGTAGTTGATATATGTATGAAATATTAGAACATAATTCTTCGTTCGTTTTAATCTTGTTTGAGTGTGTCTATATTTCGTGACCGCAACAGTTATCTAACCATCGTCTAACTTATATTTCCGATGTTATAAGCAGAATTATTCTTCCAATATTTGTTAAAGTGAGAATTCTCCGGGTTACTGAATTTACCTGGAAATATCGACCATTGTAGCATTTTGAATAGAAATGTTAGTGTAATTTAAATTCACATATGAAATACATAGTAGACGATTCGGGATTACAATGTTAGATCAGATCACAGGAGCATAGACACTTTTTTTGGATCAGTTACGCAAAAGTGTTTTAAACCAGTTGCAGTTATTCGAACACATTTGTAAAATGTTATATACTGGAACAGACTTTTGTAAAATACATTTATTTATAATTACATTAATGAAATTGATGAAATTATATACATCAAATATAAATATTAATATTAATATTTTTTGTACCGTTACATTAAAAAATTTCTTAGCTAAATTTTTATAACCGTTTGAATTACATTGTTACAACGATTTACTTTAAAGCATCGAGTTAATCACCATTGGCTTCTCAAGTAAATTATTTATTATTTAACGGCCATACAAATTTTTGTCATTTAGTGGTGTTAAGTCTAAATATTAAGAAGAACTCCAAATATAAAAAGATAAGCATCAATCAAGCAGTTTGGCACCGAAATTTTAAAAAAATCCAAAAAGTGCAGTTAACCACTTTAGCCTGTGAACAGCTCAATTATTGTAAACATAAGTTACATTAGAATATTCTATTGTAGTCAGAAAAATTTTATTAACGGAAAATTTCATATTTAATTTATTACTTAGGATTGTAAAATAGAAATCTATGAAAAATTCTTGTTTCAATAAAATATATTTCGCATGATAATCAGTAAAGTATTTTTCTATTTGGTAAATATGAAACGTTCAAGCTATTACTTCAACTGAACATTTTCTATAAAATGATCGATAAACTGTAGAAACACTATGAAGAATCTATTTTATTCACGATTTTATAGAAATGTTTCTTGTGTAGGTGTAATGGCCATTTACGCCACCATAATTAAAATTAACGTTTTATAATTATTCAACACGTTATCATTACGAAATCCTAAGTTATGTTTGTAGAATTGCTAATTAATAAAACTTAATTGGCGGATTTGTTGTATTATTACAGACTGAAGATTTAAGGCAATTCGAAATGAACCGACATTTCATATTTTAGTTCCAAAAAACTTCTATTTCATCAATACTGAAAATCACTTGTCTTGTTTTGTCACAATTTATTGACTGACTATAAACATTTATTCCTGATTAATAATTGTTTTATCTATAATTATTTGAGATTAAGATTTAAGATTCAGAATTGATTAATTCTTTTCGAAAACATATTAATGTATATTCCAACTCAAAAATTGAAAAGGTTAGCCAACTGATAACTAAATATGTAGGAGTTGCATGTTATAAACTTATGTTATAATATCATTAAATCAATAATTATAAAGTATACTTAGCAGTACATTAACACATGTAAATACTAAGTTTACCAATAAAAGTATCGAAAGACAAGCAAATTGTATACAAGGTGGACCACCTCAATTATTTGTGTTATTAGTGGACCGATCAAAATTTCTTTTGTCACAGATGATACGATTTCAAAGGATCTTCAAGATGATCACCTTAGATTCTTTCCGTCTCTTTTTAAAATAAGTTTCCAAGGCTGCTAGCAGACATTGAGACAAATTCAACGACCACAATATAATACATTTTTTCATATATAAAATTTATACATAAAAACATTAAACGTGGCCTTGAAAACTTATTTGAAAAAAGGACATAGAAAAAATTTAAGGTCACTACCTTGGAGATCTTTTGAAACCGTATCCTCTACAGCCAAAAAAATTTAGAACGGTATACCAATAATGAAAATTATTGAGATGGTCACGTTAGGAGGACAACCCAGTATATACTTAAGTGTATTTTTAGTAGTCTGAAGAAAATCTTTATTAGTCTTGCAGTACCTACATATTTATCTTAAGTACAGCATAAACCAAACGCTATTTTGCAACTTATATTTTTATTCCTTTATTTCGGTCAAATGCAAAAGTATCGAATGCTATTTATCAGAGGATATGCAATTTGCAAAGAATTTATACTAATCAACATGTTTTTACTAAAATTTCTTTATAAATGTGTACATTTGTTAGCAAAGTTTCATTCTTTACTTTCTCTGAAATCTTTGGTGATTCTATGAATTTTACACTATTATTGTAACATAATATATATATTAAACGACAAATTTTTTCATTTACAGGACGTAAAATGAAGATCCTAGCAGCTTTGCTGCTATTAACGTTAGTCTTACTGGTTCACGTGGTTTCTTCAAATACAACTCCGTCGACCACTGACACAACTGCGAAGTCATCGGAAAATTCTGTACTGAAAACAAGCGATGCATCGGATGTGGAACCTTATGCTACAATTTCATCCGCAAATGGTCAAGCAAAAGACAAAACGTCTTCTTCTGACGATGAAAAGTTAGCGCGAAAATTGAAAGACTACGGTGACGATCTCCTGCATTTGAAACCTATCCTGAGTCCTAAGGATATATTTCTACAAGAAATTCACACTTTGAGCGAAGAAGCTTCTACTTCTAAGGTGATTTAGAAACTTTTCCGTAGAAATTAATTTAGCCCCTTGCGTTGAAATAACGTCTGTCAGATGTTCGACATTTTACAAGTTACAAACGTCACAGACGTCTACCGAATATCGCAAGTTGCTTTGATCAGCAAATTAGGATAGTTAGCAACATTTATTTAAGTAGCCTGTTCCGCACTAAATAGATACGATCTAAGTTTGAAATGTGAGTAACTTATTTTTCAAAAGTTAGCGTTCTTTTATCAGTCTTCAAGGGCCTCAAATAACACAAAAGTTAAACTTCGTAGAAACTTCTTACATTACAATAATCGAGTATATCCTAAATAGATGCCTATTGATTAAGTGACAACACAAGGGGTTAAAAGAAGAGACGTATACATATGTATGTTCACTTCTAATAATTGTCTAATATCAAATAGTTTATTAATCCAGTACCATTGTTTAAATTGTAAAAATTACTAATCTGTATGATTGTTAAAATTATAATATGAATGTAATCTATTAGAAAAATAACGTCGAGGACAGATAAAATGAAGAAAATATTCCATTCATTAATCCTCTGGCACATAGTAACGAGTCAGACTTGTGACACAGATTATATTGAAGTTGAAAATTAATTTTAGTTGTAACTTTAGTTTTAATTTGTAATACTGAGGATTGAGATCTAAATAACGTATAATATTAATAAAAAATGAACAGCTTACATGCATAGCCAGTACAGATATCACAAGGCAAGGAGTTAAGTAGAATTATTAAAATTCTCATTAGACCAGTTCAAATTAATAAATAAGTCAATATCCTTTTTCGTTTGAAAACTGATAAAGTTTACGTTTCCCAGAAAATTCTCAAATTGTTCAAGGATGAACTTGAATGACATTAGCGATGAAAGTTTGAAATCAAACTATTTGCAGATTTATGAAGAGCTTGTACAATCCAGAAGGATTAAACTTTCAAGCTCAACTTCGACTGCAAGACCACTAACAACGATAATCGACGTTAATAATACGACGGAAGACAGTGCTGTAAAGAAACTGTTTGAAAACGAAGATACACCCTACGACGATGATTTGGACGAGGATGAAGAAGACAAAAGCGACGAGGAATACTACGACCCTAATGAAATCACGCGTGAAAACGAGGAAGAGCCTGAGAGTGACGATCAAATGAAAACACAGTGTCCTGATTATTGTAGATGTGCTGGCGAGTATGCAGCTGTGATAACTGCAACGTACGTTTCTAATCTTCCACGATAACATTATATAATTTAATTATTTCCTTTATATTAAAGGAAGATAATCACGACGTTGATAATTTACAATTCAATGTGCAATAACACAAGTGCGATTGACATTTTATTTTTTCAATCGCATTTTATGGACAAAACATTCCAATATTTGTTAAAAATGTATCTATAAATGTATACTGCTTTTTGTGTACAGGTGCTCCAAGTTTGTGGAACATCAATCTTTCGGCACAGGTATTGGTCACTTACACATAAAAAATGCTGGACAAATTCGCCTCGGCCCTCATGCATTTAAATCACAGGGTCTCAACAAATTACAATCGATTATGATTACTGACACGAAAATCGTCGAATTAAATCAGACTGCGTTCGATGGCGTACCATATTTGTTTTCTGTGAATTTAACACGCAATGAACTACAAAATATCCCTCCAAATATTTTCCAAAGCAATAAACAGCTATCCTTGCTTGCCATCTCTGGAAATCCGTTGAAGTATTCGCAAGATTCGAAATTAACAAAACATGGCCTATTTGATGCACCATTGGTCACAGAGTTTGACTTCTCCTTTAATGGACTAACGAAATTGAAACGTACGGCATTCTCCAAAATGGAGAGTGTCGCTTATGTTAATTTAAAAGGCAATAAATTGAGGGAAATTGATAGCGCAACATTCAGTATGATGGACGCACTTGAGGAAATTAATCTCTCGAACAATTTATTGAATGAAATTCCCAGTGGTCTGTTTGATAACAGTGAAATCCAAACGCTTCATATTAGTGGTAAGATTACGTTAATCGTAGAAACTTTTATATTTAAATAATTCACCATACACTTTTATAGAGAAACTTGTCTTTGTATAAATACAAAAAAAAAAAAGAAAACAAGAATTTCTCCTTTATTCAATTTTAATAGATTAAATTTCATGCTTACAATTTTTAACCATTAAACTCTTAACAATACGTATTAATAAAAATCAACATCACTCGATAATTAGTTATGAACTTAGTAGTCAATAATAATAGACATGCTTTCGAAAGTATTATTTAATAAATATATGTTTAATTTCCAGACAACAATTTGTCAAATTTGAGTACCATACAAGCACCGAAACTGAGAGTATTAAATGCATCTAACAATAAAATCAAATTAATAACGAAAGAAGATCTTTCTGGTGTACCCTTATTAGAACAGTTGATAATTAAATCGAACGGCATCAAGAGAATTCATCAGCACAGTTTTTCTAATCTCTATCAACTTACAACTCTCGATATTAGTGATAATAAACTTACTACTTTGACGGAACATCATCTAAGGGCTAATTCAAGATTACAAGTTTTATTGATCAACAACAATCCTCAATTAGAAACCTTACCAATTTTCAGTACATCTGGCCTTGAGTATAATACGTTTAGGTAAGAATTAAATGTTCTGTCGTATTGTATGCTGTGTTCCTTTACAATTTTTAAATGATCAGATTAGAAGATTAGAATTTTCATAATAAATGGACATTCCTAAATGGGACTGCCGACGTAAATTTTGAACAATTTTAATTTTCACATACTAAAGATTTTATTTCTTTTTTAATAACTTTCTTTTTTTCTTTAGTATGCATAAGTATAATTACGTAAATTTACATTTTTCTTTACTATGTATAAGTACAGTTACCTACATAAGTTTGTATTAACATTACATGTATAATATACATAAATAATTGCACTATAACGACATATATTTTTACAGCGTATATCGATTTGAATGCTCAAATTGTGGCTTGGATCTCCTCCAAGCAGGAACTTTCAACGCTATGCCAGCAATAGCACGACTGAATCTCTCCAAAAATCGTCTAACTGGTTTACCAGATGGACTCTTGAGTTCTCTACCGTCTTTACAGGTCCTCGATCTTTCTGACAATATAATTCGTTCTTTGGAAAGCAACATGTTCCGCGATGCTATTAGCTTAACGAAAATGAGTCTCGCGGGTAACCCCTTGGTAACATTACAAGTAACACCATTCCTGATGGCTCCCAGTCTTATGAAACTCGACGTGAGCAGATGTAATTTAGAGAGAGTTTGGAACGAAGCTCGAGTTCCACTGACTAGTTTAAAGTACGTAATATGTTTATTACATAAAAAAAACTTTCCTCTATATTTGAATATACGTAAAATTGAAACCTTTTTAATGAATTAACTAAAAAAATTAGTTAAGTGTATTATAAAGCTAAAAAATTTTTTAACGATGTTATCATTATGAGATAATGTTATTATTTTTTATCATTATTATTATCCTAGAACCTTGTCTGTTCGGGACAATAATTTACGTCAAATTACCGTTGAAGAGCTGAGAGCAACGCCAAACCTTGCTAGTTTGGATTTGACACACAATCCTCTCGACTGTAATGCGGAGTTTAATGAAGCTATACAATGGCTCACTGAATATGGCGTAAAGCCATTTGAAACGTCAAGGTATTTGTTAGTTTTTTAAATATTATTATTTCTTTAAGGTACAATAGTTCTTAGATGTATAATCAGGAAATGGGAGATCCAATTGTGATCACTTAAAGGGGTATTCTAATCTAGAGTGTCATTTTTTTAGGTCTTTTAGAGATTTTTTTTTTACAAAGAAATCATAAGACTTTGTAGTATCGATTTGTCGCACACATATTTATTTATATTTTAAGAATATTCACCATTTTTCGTAAGTGAAAATAATCAAAATTGTCCAAATTATAAGTTATTTAGTACGGTCCCTTAAAAAAAAAAAAGTGTTCTACTGGCTGACATAGTTCGGATCGCTTTTCTTATCCGAAACGAGAAAGCCCAAAAGATTGTTGATTAGTATGAGTGTGGCTGTGGTGTGAACCAAGATAAAACTAATATCGAAAATTTAAAAAATTTGAAGTTTGAATATCGATTTTCTCCATTTTTTTTTTTTCGTGTTTTGTGGGCTATAAAATCAGGGGGGAAAATAACGTTTTGATTTTTCTGGTTGCTGCAAAACGGCACATCTACTGAAGGTGTACGCAAAATTTGAGATCAATCTGTCACCTAGAACTTCAGATATCGTGTCATGCATTTAAAGAAACACAGTTTCAAGAGAAACGCGTTTAACACGTTCCGTGCCGCGTGGGTCGCATACGCCCCACTCTGGTCTTTTATCTTGAACGTTACCTTTTTCTCGATAACAATGATTTTTGCAATCTTATAAATATTGGAAGACATGTAGGGCAAAAAGCAAAACTGTTAGTCTCGACAATGTGGGACGCATACGACCCACGCGGCGTGAACGGAAAGTCACCGAAAATCGGTCCGGCACGGAACGTGTTAAAGTGATTATATGTACTTTCGACTAATCTGTCAGCCTAGGTCCATACAGTGGACCTTCCTCTTATTCAAAAAAGTCCTGCTCAGCAGATTTTTTTCTCTCTTCGCGTAACCCTATCCTTCTTTGGCGGCTTCTGTCAACCGACTCTCGTATCAGGAATTTACGTGCGTCTCTGCTTGCTGGCTAATAGCCACTCCCAATACAAACAAAAACATGGAAAACCCCTTCTTCAATATATACCGACGACTAAAAACGTGGCGATTTCGACGATTGCTGCTCCTGAATGTATATGTTTTGGAACGAATATTCAAATCAACAAATTTAACGATTCGTTATTATTTTGTATTTCCGCTTCTAATCATCTCTTCAATAATTTGTCTGCAGATGAATCTTCGTAGATTGGTTTAATTACTTCTAAATTTGATCACTAAGAGCTGGTTGAACGTCGATGGATATTACGTCGTACACTGCGGGCTGTGTGCAGTGTTCTGTAAATATCTATAACTTCGTTACTTTTACGAATTCAAGCAAATCCTTCCACAGATATCATTTCGAGAACCTAAATTTTCAGGAAATTAAAAAAAAATTGATGTTTTGAGAAATCTAGATTAGAATACTCCCTTAACGAGGATACAGTACCATATTTTTATTGTTGGTGATTTATTGATCAGTTGAAAATTAAACGCGTCTTACTGCTCTCATTGTCAGTAAAAACAGAGGTGAAACTTTAATCGGGGAAAAAGTGTAACCAGTTATACTATACTAGAACTCTCTCATAAGGATAATCAAGAATATCATTTTTCTAACTGAAAGTGGCATCAACTTTTAAGTTAAAACTTCGAAGTTATAATACTTTAATTTTTACCAAAGTTTGCTTTCAATTAATTATTACAGTGATATCTATACAGTTATGAACAAAGATTTGCAATTTGTAATTTTTTGAATAATAGCCATTTTCGCGATATTTGCAATATTTTTCAATTTTTCACGTGCACTCGCGTATAATATTACAAGGTGTAGAGTGAGCCACATAAAGTGATCCAAGTTACTTTTTCGAAAATTATTAGAGATCAATTTTTATTTTATTTTATTTTAATTTATGCTTCACCATCTAAATACATATATGTATGCTTACCTTAAAAGATACCGGTATCGTATTCCCTAAGGAAGGTGGCAGCAGCCGATCCCCAGATTCTTTTATCGAATGACATGAGTAATATAAAACGTTACGCCATACTTCCTCTGCTATACAAAATATGAGTGAATATTTCAAACAAATATTATGTATTTTCAAGAACGCTAACTAAGTCTGCAAAATTTTGTATGTCCTTCCATAAAAACGCTAGTGCATCATTTAGTGGATTACCATTACCTGCCAAAGAAGTATGATGCCTAAATAGTATCCCTTATATCACATAATAGATCTCATTGTATCCTTAAAATGTTATATGAAAATTTGTTTCTATTAAAACAGTTTTTGAGAAAATAATTCACAATACATTAAAAAAGAATTATTTAATTCATAATTCTCTACATTGTGTTTGAGTAAAATATATATTTCTTTCAAAGTATACAAGAATAAAATAATAAAATAAGTTCAATAATATTAGACCATTTTACTAAATTATCCATGTCACTTAAAAACACTTTAAACATTCCTTGTTTAATATATAATACAAATTTTCTATAATCACACAGTGGTGTACAGTACCATTGTACTTCTATAATCTTTTATAATTTACAGATATATAAGCAATTATGCTAAAGATGACAATTATCAAGATTCTGAAGGTATTAGCCAATGGATTGATTTCGCAAATGCAGTTTGTGATGATATTAATGATGGACCACCAGACAGGACTATTTCTCTCAAGGAAAAGAATTCGAAAGATTTTGGGGGCGGACTGGACACATCTGAAGATTCAGATTTATTAATAAAAAATATTATTGAAAGCGATGGAGAAGTATGTACAAATTTAGGATATTTATTTTAATTATCTTTCTTGATGCTCTAAAGATAGAGCTAATGAATTGTTCGTTTGTATTAGGAATTACTGAAATTGCAAATTGATCATGGACTGCAGTCAAATGAAGAAATAGAAAAAGCCTGGACAAGTCAAGACCAAGAATATGAAGACTTTGTTGCCTCAGAGAATGTGGAATATCATCCCTGGTATACTAGTGCTTTTTGGCCGGTAGTTATCGTAATCGTCATAACATTGATGATTCTTCTGTTAACGGTACATGTTGCAATTCATTTGGCAAAACGACGTGGTCACGGTCCTGTCATTAGGCCGCCTATGATCCTTCGACAAGGCTTCATTGATAACAAGAATTGCGGTTTAGTTTACAAACCTCTTCAAGAAGATATCGCAACACCGCATGTTCCGAAAAGAGGAAGCTTTTATTCCAGTAGTACATTCCATTATGACAAAATCGTACCAGAAAGCGTTTAAAATTCTTTACAAAATATAATTAAGTAATCAATTATTCAGCAACCGACTTAACCAAATAATTTGATTTAACCAAACGTTAAGGAAAATTAACCATTCTTAAAAAGGTAGAAGATATTTTAAATAAAACCGATGAATAATTTAATTACACTTAGAAAAACGTGCCATGCGCAATAATATTAAATTTTCATCGGTGGGTCCTCAATTGAAGGAATTCTATGATTTCTAATAATTTACGAAAAGTGTATAAATTTTTACAATATTATAAAATATTCACAAATACTAATAACATTGACGAATGCATTTTGAAATATGGTTAGAACAACTAAGCAATCGCTAAAGCACGTTTTTCAAGGTGCTGTATGTTTTTGTATTTCCAAGGTTTAAAGAACATGTAGAAATGTTTTGAAGTATTTCGTACATTTAACACAAAATCTTTAACTACTTAAACAGTCAATTTTATTTGCTACAAATTGGGGGAATAAAACAATTCTAATTATTTACAATTTGAATTAATTCTATTTATGTATTTAATTATTATTGGATGATTACCATACTTTTATAGCTTAAGATTAATAATGATAGAATCGTCATTTTGGGCAATTAGATAAATTATATGGAACAATAAAATATAAAATTAACAATACAATAAATTATAAAAACCAGAAGAAAATTGATAATCGTATTTTAAAAAGACAACGGATACTTTAAGCTAAAAACATTTGCCCAGTCATAGTAATATATGTAAAATGTAAGACTCGTCATTTCCAATTATGGTGATCGTAATATCACCGATAACATTCATTTGAGTCATAAAAATTCAAATATTTACTACTAAGTACTGCATATAGTACTAAGTAAACTAATCTATCGTAGTATAAGTTAGTACATTATTCTGTACTACACATTGTGCTACATGTTGTAAATAATGTATAACGTTTTAATAAAATTTTGATTATAATAAATAGTTATAAATCACTCCTTCTTCCATTTGACCCTGCACTCTCAAGTGTCCAACTATTTGCACGCTCGTTTTCTTTATTCAATTTGGCCGTAATCACGATTAATAATATTTATACAATACTAACACATAAAAAGTTTTAATTATGCGTATACCACTGTTAGGTTTTCTGTAGAAACGGTTTATGGCACGATCGACCGGGAACGGTTATTTTTGAGTTCAGGATTTTCGTTTATTGCTTGCACGGGTCTCATTACCTCCTCCGAGGGTCACTAGAATTGCTTTGCTAGATTTTTAGTAATTTCTATCCCTCGCGCTCAATAGCCTAAGAACATGCTATAAACCACGAATTTCCGAACGGCACAATATTAGACACGCTGATTGGCAAATGCAATCGTTAACACGTTAAACGCCATGTCAGTCACCGGCGACTGACAGTATACTTTTCGTTAGTCGTCTTCTGTTTATAGTTCGCATGGCCCACTGTGTGTATGCCCACGGCCAAGTGTGGCCTGAACGGAACGGTAAGCAAAACAGGCTGGGCGGTTAACCATTAACCAATCAGCGTGTTCCAACAAAAATCCCTCTCACGGACGTCCGAGACGCAACGTTGACGAGGGAGTCGAGTGGTAGTCGTTCAACCACCACGAACGAGGAGAAGCAAAGTGGAACCAGCTCACATCACGCGTTAGACATAGATCAGTTTTTTACAAGTTCTAATCATTTGGGTGGTCCTTCGAACCAGTATCTAGACGGCACAACATCGTGCAAACATCCACAAAGCTCGAAAGTTTATCGCCACAACCACGAGCATTAACAACCACTCTACACTGACGAACAAAAGTGTAAGCACGCGACACTAAGTTGCCACTACATATATTGGATTGCGTGGGTAGAACTATTGACGACTTTTCGACCTATTACTATATTTATTATAATTCATTCAAGTACCGTGTAAATCTGATGTTAGGTACCGATTACATATTGGACTAAACTACGATCTTTTAATATGGCAGCCAATTTGCTCGTATTATTTGCTATACAATTACAATTATATACCAAATAATATCGATTGCCCAGGCCTCACCACGTGGAGGTTGCTGCGAATGAAGGCCCGCCCTAACCACACGGTCCCATCCACCCTCCTTTTACGCGCCTACTATTTATTTTCTACTCGTTAATGCAACGTTAACACACCTCCTACTGATTGCACATTTGCAATACGTCGAATTTTCGATCGCTATGCAAAACGAACAATAGCAGGAGACTGAAAGAATTTTAACTAAAAAAACAAAGTCGGCGAGAAAAGAAAAAAAAAACGTTAAAAGTGTCCTATTAATTTAAACTTAAAGTACTTTAAGTTTAGCTTAACTTAAATTATGCCTAACTTACAGTATAAACTTCACTAACACACAACCTATACTAGGAATTAACTTAAACTTGCCTTAAACTAGGACTAACGAAAGCCTTAATTCTATACGAGATATTAATTCACTCTGTATTTTTATCACTACACAAGAATATGTGAAGTAGGAATCTGAACACAAAAGAAGAAAATACAAACAAATAAGTCCCTCAGAAAGACACGTCAACTTAAGGGACTGACTGCACACGGCTATCTCGGGAAAAAATCAAGCGTTTCTGGTCAAAATTGTTTACAGAAAAGTAACGAAAAGAAGAAAATTACAATGTTTACAAACTGAGAGCTACTGTCTTAAACAACATATAACTCGAGCACTGAATTTTCGTTAAAAACTTGCCTACTTAAATGTTAAAGTCTTAAATATTATCCTGCTTAAATTAAGAGTCACCTGCCTGTCTAATGATTTAACTTAAATTAACAGCCACCTGCCTAACTAAGAATCTAACTTAATGTAGAGAAACGCCTACCTGTCTAAAGATTTCAATTAAATTAAGAGTCGCCTGCCTGTCTAATGATTTAACTTAAATTAACAGCCACCTGCCTGATTAAGAATCTAACTTAATGTAGAGAAACGCCTACCTGTCTAAAGATTTCAATTAAATTAAGAGTCGCCTGCCTGTCTAATGATTTAACTTAAATTAAGAATCGCCTATTTAATTAGGAATTTAACTTAATGTCGAAAAATTGCCTACCTGATTAAAGATTTAACTTAAATTACAAATCACCTTCTTAATTAAAAATCCAATTTGATGTTGAACATACCGTGGCTAATTAAAATGCCACGTTCGTTTGGAAAACAACCTCCCTAATTAGAAATCTATATTGCACCCTGCCTATTCTAAAAATCTAAAGGGATATAAAGGAGAAAGAAGAGAAATATCAGTATGGTACGATGAATTGCTCGTATGCTTCTCTGTCACCTGCAACAAACTCAAAGTCAAACGAATTTAGTAGATTTTATAAGTCACGATATGGTCATCATTCGCGTTTTCTTTTTCTTCCAATAATTTCCTCAGTTTTCGATAAAGCGAGTCTGTAACAAACTCATTTTTTCTTGGATTAATAAAAGCAAAAACGAAAGTTTAACATCTGAAACAAAAGATATTATGCACATATATGTGTAAAATATTAATAATTATTATTATTGGGAAATGGAGTACTGTTTCCATAAGGACGCAGCTTACATCCGAAAGCCTCGGTAATAATAATTAAAAATGAAGGTTCAACAGCTGAAAAAAAAAAGACATTGTGCACACATCGTACATATACTTTTACGTATTCGTTGAAATAAAAGTGATATTAAAAAAGGTACTTTTCATTGTTAGCAATTACTTGGTACACATTAATAACAAATTATTTCGAAAGTCATTAGAATTTCACAAAGGAAGAACCTTCGTTAATTGAATTGAAAATTTCTATACCGAATACCAAGATGAAAGAAAAGTAGACTAAAATTGTGCACGATTAGTTTGCAAGTTATTATTCGCACCGAAGAAAACGTGGAGAGATGTTCCAATTTACTCTTCATTAGGAATTTAAAACCGAAACGATCGCACAATTTACCGCAATTTTATCTATATTATTATCATTTTTTCAATTAGCAACGAGTATACGACGTCGTACCGGTGATTCGAACATTTTACTATGAATATTACGAGCCAACTACTTTCTACGTAACAAAGTTTCTTTGCAAGCTTTTTATGTCGCACACGGAATATGAAAAACGTAATCGCGGGTGTACTTTAATTCGTGCAAAGCTATTTCGAAAATTTATAAAAATTCACTGTACTCTACTGTTGCATCAGTCGGTATGCAAATTTGCAAGTATTACCGACAGATGAATCATACGTAGCGAGAAAAGTGAAATAACTCTAATAACAATTAATTCTTATTTTTTCTTCTTTTTTAAGAATTTACCGAGCTTCTACTTGTACATTCGTTCATTATTAATTCTTCCTCTGATATATTCCGATTCAATTTGAAATTCTCAACGTCTCAAAGTCATTGTTACGTCTTCAAAGATAAATCATCATCATCGATATTACATATGTAATATCGTAAATTTTAGTAAATACCTGTTATAGCAATTCAATGAATATAATTCAACAGTATTTCATGACAAACACTCGGTATATTTCACAATCCACTCGTTCTAAATCCGAGCAAAAACCGTGAGTGGAATAATTCATTCTTTTACGCAACACTAATCTATTAAATGTACGAAATAAAAAGAGTCTCAGAATCAATCGCGGTGAGTGCTTCATTTTACTTGCAATCTGAATTTACGAAAAAAAAAGAAGATAAAAAAAGTTACCGCTAAACGCGAGAGCAGCCACGTTAGGGCGCTTTTGGGCAATACGCAACACTAGTCATCTATGCACTCTGTAATTTATAATACGCAACACTAATAACGGGGGATCCATGGCAGTCGTAGTCAGGGCTACTGCCCTGATCACCTTTGGTGCAGATCTTTCAGCGACTCCTGAAAAATTTGGGCATTCCGTCGCAACACTATTCAAAGACAAAACGCGTTTATTCATTGACGCAACGCTATCGTTAAAATTACATCTGGAGTAAATGGACTCCTTCAAATTATTTTTACTCTGAAAAAATGAAGGAAAAAAAAAATGTAACATTACTTTAAATGCAAACATTTACAATCGAATAAAGATTCGAAGAATAAAA